GATAGAGTGTCGTCTGAGCCCTCTGCTGAACCTCTGACTATCAACCTGGATGAGAAGGGTGAGTGTGGCAGAGTACTGCCAGCCCTCTTCATTCTCCACCTTCTAGAGGGGTACCTCATGAGTGCAGCTGCTGTGATACTCTCTACTTTTCTCTCTAATGGGTCCTTGTGTCTGCAGAGGAGAAGAAGGAAGATGACAAGAGGGATGTGGTGATGCTGCAGAACGGGGAGATGCTGAAGGACTCTCTTGATGAGAGGCACAAGAAGGCAGTGAAGCAGCGCTTCATGTTCAACATAGCTGATGGTGGCTTCACTGGTATGAGGGGCCTGAGTGCAGCTACACTTACTCTGCCGCTGCTCATCTTAGTGAAATCCCTTTTGACTTTCTTTCTTTTCTCCCATTCTCAGAGTTGCATTCTCTATGGCAAAATGAAGAACGGGCAGCAACTGTCACAAAGAAAACCTACGAGATCTGGCACCGGCGCCATGACTATTGGCTCTTGGCTGGGATCATCAAGTATCCTTCCCCTGACAGAACACCCTTTTCCTTTCTGGGAGTCTGACCGATCCCCATAAAGGGGATCTTATCAAGTGGTGGCTGGAATATAGTTAGTGGGATAGCCTCATATTTATCCACCCCAACCAAGATCACAGCTCCATGTGGGGATCTTAACAGGGGTGGCTAGGATACAGTGAGCAAGATAGTCTCGTCTCTTCCATCTCCCTCACACCCAATGGGATACAATCCTATTTGCCTAGAATATGTGTTCCCTTGTTTTCATTACCTTTGTTTGCCTGAGCTCCTCTATCTCAGTCATGGCTATGCCCGCTGGCAGGACATTCAGAATGATCCACGTTATGCCATCCTCAATGAACCCTTCAAGGGTGAGATGAACAGGGGCAACTTCCTGGAGATCAAGAACAAGTTCCTGGCCAGGAGGTTCAAGGTGGGAGCTGCAGAAGGAAAATTGAGGGTGTCTGCCTCTCTGAGACTATTTCTGATGGATAAAGAGCATTGCTGTCTTTCATGCTTGTCCACTGTTCTGTTCCCTGATTGCAGGAGAACCTATGAAGTGGATTGGGAGTGCTTTAGCATCAAAGTGGTGGGGTGGTTTTTTTTTTATTTTTTCCCCTCCCTTTCTCCACCCTCCAGCTCCTTGGTATTACAGCCCACTCAGGGTATGTCTAGACTAAGTTAAAATAATTTTAAAACGTGTTTGAACACATTATAGAATTCTAGCGTAGATAGTGCATGTTGTATTCACACTACTACAGTAGGGTTCTAAAACAAGTTAACCAATGCTTCAATAAAACCATTTTTCTTCTAGCCTAGCCATGCCCTTGGAGACTACACAAGAACTGTTTTTGTTTTGTTTTATTTTGGTTTTGTTAGCATGTTTGTTTTTCTGATTGAATTACTATGAAAACCTGTCCCAGACTGCTCTGCCTACTGGAAAGCAGGAAAATGGCCACTGTTCTCTTAGGAGCACTTGTTCCTGGTGTTTAGGGGGAAGAAACAGCCTGGAGGTCCTTCAGGGAACACCCACTGTGAATTTGTTCTTGTGGTCTATTTGCTCCTTCAAGGGATAAAGAGGATAAAACCGTGACGGTACCTGAGGGAACAGTCCCTGAAAAAGTGAGCTATAGTTGCATGGAGGACAGGATGCTTAGGAGATGATTTTGTTCTGGGACAGGACTAGTTCTTTGTGTACAGTGTCTAACACAGTGGGAACCTGATCCTTGACTGGCATTTCTAGGCACTACCCCCAATATAAATAAGAGCCTGGGAAATGGGGCTAAGGGAAGAAGCTGCAGTAGCTCAGGCCTGAGAAGATGGGGTGGGGATGTTGGCAGAAGGTAAGTCTTAGAATCTGGGGGAGTAGGAAGGTGTGATTGATAGGCTGCTCTGCAGGAAATAACTGGAGGAGGCATGGCAAGGCTCTCATGCTTATCCTTTCTCTCTCAGCTGCTGGAGCAGGCACTGGTGATTGAGGAGCAGCTGCGGCGAGCTGCCTATCTAAACATGTCGGAAGATCCATCGCACCCGTCTATGGCCCTCAATACACGTTTTGCTGAGGTGGAGTGTCTGGCAGAGAGCCACCAGCACCTGTCCAAGGAGTCAATGGCTGGGAACAAGCCAGCCAATGCTGTTCTTCACAAAGGTGAGGCAGTAGATCATGCTGAGCAAAGGTGGGCTTGTTTCGTGCCGCTATCCCCCCAACCTGTTTCCCCCTGCCAGGGTGCCCCTTTCCCCTTCTCCTCCCCCTCTAAATACACACCCCTTTCTCTTCCAGTTTTGAAGCAGCTGGAGGAGCTTCTGAGTGACATGAAGGCAGATGTGACTCGGCTGCCTGCCACCATTGCCCGCATCCCACCTGTGGCTGTGCGCCTCCAGATGTCTGAGCGCAACATCCTTAGTCGACTGGCCAACCGCAGCAGCGAACCTCCTCCCCCACCACCTCCCCAGCAGGTAAGCATCCTCCCCTCCCCCAGCCGGTAAAGATCCCTATTCCTCTTGGAGCTTAATCCACCCCACTCCAATCCGGTCGTTTATCGGGAGGGAGTGGGACCCACGGGGAGTGTCCCAGCTGGATGGATGCTGTCAGTAAGGGCTCCTAACACATGTTCTTTCACCCCACAGGTGGCCCAGCAGCAATGAGTCCCTGGCTTGGTACTGTTGGCTTCTTGACCAAGCTGAAATGATCCTTCTTCACACTCTACCCTTCCTCTGCCTGACGTTCCTGATCGGGTGCTGTTCCCCTTGGTGGACGTTGCTGCACAGGCCTCCCTGGGGGAGAGGAGACTCCTCCCTCTGCTGCCAGCCCACACAAGCAAGGAGTGTGCCGGGGCTAGAGGGGACATGATGGACTCTGTACATAGTGACTGGAGGCCACAGCGCCACGTCCTGTTACACAGAATCCTGGCTGCACTGCTCGCTGCCTCAGCCTGGAGTTCCACGTTTTTTGTTTTAATCTTATTTTGAGTTTGTTTACTGAGATGAGTGTACAGATGAGACCAAGCAAAAGCCAGGACAGAGACACAGCTACCTCCATCAAGATCGTTTTTAATACAAAAACTGACTGGACTTGTCCACTAATAAACAGCTAAAAAAGATGAAAAAAATCTTGATAAAACTGAAAAATAAAGGTTTCCTTGTATTTTATTCTGCTGTCTTTAGTAGCTGTGCCAAGAAGTTGTGGGGAGGAAATAGCAGGAGATAAACAAGCAATCTCTGGTGGAGTGCTGCTACTTCTTTGCCCTTCTATGGCATGGGGTGGGTCGGGTCCCTGGTATCCTGTAGCATAAGCCTTGTTCTGTGCTCCACAAAGACATAAAAATTGTCAGATCCTCATATGCATGCTGAGATGCTACCACCTCCTTTCCAGCCCAATCTGTGATCAGTGCAGATCTGTGTCATTTACGTTACTGCTCAGGTAATGAGCTGTCAAAGGCTGGCTACTGGCTTGGGGTGCTCATGTCCTTGATTTCTGTGCCTTTACAAATGCTGAGCAGTGTAAGTGGCCTCTTAGCACAAGGGGTATGTCTACACTACAATTAAAAACCTGCAGCTGTCCTGTGCCAGATGACTCAGGCTAAGGGGCTGTTTCATTGCAGTGTAGATAGTTGGGCTCTAGGACCCTGCAAGGTGGTAGGGTCTCAGAGCTTGGGCTCCAAACACCCCCCTGAGCCCCAGGAGCCTGAGTCAGGTGTCCCATTGTAATGTAGACATACCCAAGGTGATAGTAAGGAAACATACAGAGAGAGCTCTATAGCTACACCCAGTCTCTGATCTCTGGCTACTATCTTCTCCCCCATATTGAGTCATGTGCTGCTAGGGCTACTGCTATCAGCACAGGCCTGGCCAGAGCTGCCTGCTTGGCTCTGCTTTTAGCAGGGCCAGACTTAGGCTTGAGAGTGCCCCACCTTGCCATTTTTGGAGCAGAGGGTGGTAATTTGTTCTGATCTGGCAAATAAATACGTAAGTGTGCACATTTACCCCCTCCCCCCAAAAAAAATTCTGGAGCAGTTGTTGGGACAAATCAGTGTTGCTATCTCATAACTTCTGTTAATCTTATTGTACACCTCTACCTTGATATAACACTGTCCTCAGGAGCCAAAAAATCTTACTGTGTTATAGCTGAAGCCACATTATATCGAACTTGCTGTGATCCACGGAAGTGCAGCCCCGCCCCCCCGGAGCACTGCTTTACCGTGTTGTATCCGAATTCATGTTATATCAGGTCGTGTTATATCGGGGTAGAGGTGTATGTGATGTTTGGACAGAAGTGAATACAGCACACTCTCAACTGTCTAGTATTAGAGATTTTAGCTCTACAGCCTGTGAAGAAAAATCTGAGCTGTACCCCTTAAAGCTGCAGAAGGCATGTGTAAATGTAAAGGAGCTCAATTCAATACAGTCTCCTGCAATGGTAGCCTAAGGCATGTTTGAACAAATGGGGTAAATCTATGCTATAGAGCCTCTGCCAGCATAGCTAGAGCAGCTTAGCTGTGTTATGTAACTATAGCCTATGCTGCCACAACTTTCTGTCGATGTAAGTACATCACCTCCCCCAAACAGTTGGGTAAGTCAATAAACCCTCTTCCCTTGACATGGCTGGGGTTAGCCTAGCTAGGCCAGCAGTGGGGGTTCTCTAGAACCCTGCTTGACACCAATACTGCCCTAACTTTGCAGGGTAAACTAAGCCTGCAGCTTTTACGGCTGTCTGGTCTGACACATGGAATTATTCTGGTATCGCGGTTGCACTCCAGATTCACACCTACCTTACGCCGAAACGAGTCAAACAACACCCACTGCGGTACGGGGCTTTGCTTATGCCTCTCTTCTCGGCTGGGGGAAGAAGGGGTGTGGGTGTGTTCGGGGGGCCGGCTGCCTAATCAGTGGGTAGGGGGAGACGATTCTAGCCAATGGCAGGGTGGCAGGAGGAGAAGCGTCTGGCCAATCCCAGGGCGAGGGAGGAGCCGGGCTGAGCCTGCGTGGAGAGAAAGCTATGCAAAGACTTTCCCAGGAAGTGGGCGCTGCGCACGTGGGGCCGGAAGGTAGGTGCGGATTTACGGCTGCTGCTGCTGTCCTCGCCCGGGCCTGGTGCTCTGCCCGTATCCTCACTCCCCAGCCTGGCTCGGAGCCGGGGTAGCGTGCGCGGGAGGGGGAGGCCGGGGTTTGTGCAGGCGTCCCGGGCGTGGTAACTTGGGGTGAAAGCTCCAGCAGAGTTCGGCCCTTTGGGGGGAGGGGGCGTGAAGTGGGGGATCCAGCCGCGGGCTCCTTGTGTCTGAACTGGGAAACACTCTGAGGCTGGTCGGGAGGGCTGAGGGCTTGGGGAAGACCCTGAGCTAAGTGGTTTCTGGGAAGCGAGATTTGAGAGCTCAGAAACGAGTTACGGGGGATGGGGTTTAACCAGCGATACCTTAGAACGGGGAGTGTGTTAGATAACTGGTTCTCAACCTTCCTAGACTACCCTGTCAGGAGGCTGATTTGTCTTCCGTACCCCCAAGTTTCACCTCACTTAAAAACTCCTAGTTTACAAAATCAGACATAAAAATACAGAAGTGTCATAGCACACAGAAACATTGCTGACTCTCTGATTTTTACCATATAATTATAAATCAATTGAAATATAAATATTGTACTTATATTTCAGTGTATGGTAGATAGAGCAGTATAAACAACTCATATGAAATTTTAGTTTGTACTGACTTCACTAGTGCTTTTTATGTAGCCTGTTGTAAAACTAGGTAAATATCTAGATGAGTTGAAGTACCCCCAGGAAGCCCTCTGTGTAGCCCCAGGGGCACATGTACCCCTGGCTGAGAACTATTGTGTTAGAGAGACAGAGACAGGCAGTTGGAAGAACTGCTGTCCTAAAGGAATCACCCCTGAGGTTGCCATGCCATATGAGTAAATGTGTGTGCGTGGGGTCTGTTCTGTTTTCTTTTATCTCGTTTTCCTTCCTTCTTTTCCTTTACTTACCCCACAGAGTGAACAGTACTATGGGGCGCAAACTTGATGTACTGAGGAAGGAAAAACGTGGCCCAGGGCGCAAAGCCCGCAAACAGAAGGGAGCAGAGGTAGAATTAGCCAAATTTCTTACGACAGGTAAGTGTCTTTGTTTCCGTATCCTTTTCTACATTTTCTGCACTCCCCACATGCAATCACACCTGTAAGGGCTTCTAAATAAGGACATCGTCCTATTGTTTGTCCTCCTCCTGTTACCAGTTTCTTAATTTTCTGTCATCTTTGTTTGTTTCTAGCTACTGATAACAGTGGAAACAAATTATCCAGCCATGCACGAAAAAGGTGAGTGTACAAATACACAAATTAATTTTTCCTCTAGAGAGGATAGAATCTAAGGCACTATTTGCAATCTGGCAGACCCAAGTCCGAGTGCTGTGATGGATCAGAGGGAGTTGTTAGGCTCTCTGATGTAAGAGGGGTTTTCTGTTCATTTATTCTTTTGTTCGCTTGTCCGTGTGTTTTCAGGGCTGCAAAGAGACGAATGGGGTCAGGAAAAACCCAAGCTAGGAAAAATCTGCTTCAGCTAAAGAAGCCAACAGATAAGGGGGGGATGGATGGCACCAGCACAGGTATGTGTTTAATGAGTTGACTTCAATCATTTAAAAGCATTTTTCTAATGAAGAGTTCTGGATGTTCTAAGTTCTTAAATCTCACTTTCATCCTCAGCTGTGAGCAGAGCAGGAGTCTGGCATAGCTTAAGTCATTTTAAGCAGTGGACATCTCTTTCTACTGCCCCCACCTGACCTCCAGAGTGTTGTGGGCATCTTTAGTAGCTAGGGTTTTAAACACATGCATTGCACAGGACTAAGAAGTGCCTTGTAACCACCATAACTTAATTTTAGCTCAAATTAAATTTTGTAAAACTTGGATTTTTAAAACTGTGTCTCCTCACTAACACTGGGAGCAAGCACATCAGACTTATTTTCTGCTTTCTATGCTGGTTCCCCATAAAATACAGCTTCAAATGCAATGGTCGCAGTCCTTAACCTCAGGGTGCACAATAACCTGGGCTCAGGATACACTGAAGGATCTGGGAATTTTTGGGGACTAATCCAAAAGTGTAGAGAGAAATCTTCACAGAATCTAAGAACCACTTAATAATGAGGAGAATGAAGAGTTTGTATTTACGGCAGTGCTGAAGAGTATGTCTACGCTGCAGCTGCGAGTGAGCCTCCCAGCCCAGGTAGACAGAGTAGTGCTAGCTCTGCTCACTCTTGCTTGCTAAAAATAGCAGCATAAACATTACAGCACAGATGGTGGCTCAGGCTAGCCCCGCAAGTCGGAGCCTGCCCGCCCTCCTGGGTCTGAGCTTGGGTGGCGGTCTGAGCCTCTCTCCGTGCTGCAGTGTGTACGCTGCTGTTTTTACTTGAGCCTAGGCTGGCAGGCACACTCCCAGCTGCAGTGTAGACATACCCTAAAGGTCCCAACCTCTTTCACAACCTCGTTGTCCTAAACGCTGTACTAACATAGTGAAAGGCACTCCCTGACTCTGAGATTACAATCTAAACAGATGAACAAAAATACTGTGACCCCCATTTTACATTTGGAAATTGAGACAGGTTCAGAGACACACAGTCTATGGTGATGTCAGGAACTGAACCCAGATCTGCAGAGTCCCAATCCAGTGCCACCTTCTACAAGACCATCCTTTCCTTAACTACTGTAAACCTCACTATTTTCCATTACAAGTATAGGACACGCTTTTGTGACCTGCCTTCACTAATACAAACTCCTACCACATCATATATTTAAAAAAAAAAAAAAAGTTTTTTTTCCCCCTTGGAAAAAGGAAAGAACAGAGAAAGGAACAACTACGTGTAACCAATGTTAGCTGCTCTACGTAACGCATTGTGAAAGGTGCTCTCGTGTTATGCTGGTAGGTGTAGTATAAGAATCTAACTTGGAAATAAGCAAGAGAAATATTATAACAAATAAATAGAATTTAAAAAATTCAGTATTAGACCTGTGAAAAAGGGATGTGTATCATAAATCCCCATTGACTGTATGTGAGGAAACTGAAGTACAGAAAATTAACTGGCCCTTTTAGCTAGAAGTTAGAATGCAGAATTCCCAGCCCTCTTATTTTGCATTGAACAGGACAAGATGGTTTTGAGGGTTGTTACAAATCATTAACCTTTTCTTCTGCCTGCAGCTGCAGAGCAGCCATCCCCACAGAAAGGAGGAAAATGCAGGGGGCCAGCAGAAGGAGCCTCTCGGGACCCTCAGCTTGGGTGCAGTGACAGATGCTCACTTTCGCTAACTCCAGCCAAGAGATCACAGCCAGCTGGGGATAATGAAGAAGAGCGTTTGGAGTCCAGTGAAAGTGAGGGAGATGAGGATGTAGATGCCTGGGAGAACATGGGGGATGACGGGAGCAATGAGGAGATGATGGATGATTATGGAGCCTCGTCCTCTGAGGAAGAGGAGGTAGGAACTCCTGACTTACATGTCACAGTAAACACTTGAGACTTCCCCAGCTGGGGGTAGTACAGGGCTCAGACATCATGACCTTATCACTGAGATGGAGGACGCCTGGGGTGGGTGGGTGGGAGGAGTTGAGGTCTATCTCACATGGGGATAAAGCCTTTCAAGAGTGGAGATGGGTCCAGGCATGGAATACTTGCTCCTGCCTTCACCTGCTGCTGGTCTGTATGTGCTCTCGCATAGAGTGAGTGGGTTTTACAGGGGCAGGAATGGGGGTGGCAGGGAGTTGCCATCTGATGCCATAGTTTCATTAACTCTCCCGTGACTCTCTTAGCTGCTGCCCATCGAACAAGCTGCCCGGAAGCAGAAGTCTGGCAGGTGAGGGTTTCAGGAGCTGGAGCCCAGCAGGTTCTCTCCTAGACTGGGGTGAGGCTGTCTCTTCCATCCCCCCACATTTCTAGCATGCCTAGATTCCGAGGCCAAAAGGGACCACTGTGGTCATCTAGTCTGACCCCCGTGGCCATAGAACTTCTCCAAAATAATTCCGAGAGCATGTTCCTTAGACAAACATCCAATCTTAATTTAAAAATTGCCAGTGGTGGAGAATCCACCACAACCCTTGCTAAATTGTTCCAGTGACTAATTATTCTCACCATTAAAATGTACTCCTTATTTCCAATCTAGATTTCTCTAGCTTCAGCTTCCAGCCACTGGGTTGTGTTGTGCCTTTCTCTGCTAGGTTGAAGAGCCCATTATTACATATTTGTTCCCCCTGTAGGTATTTATAAACTGTAATCCAGTCACCCCTTAACTGTCTCTTTGAGGCTATGTATTTAGCTTAACAATCAATAGAAGGCAGGTTTTCTAATCCTTGCATCATTCTCATGGCTCTTCTGAACCCTCTCCAATTTATCACCATCCTTCTGGAACCGTGGGCACCAGAACTGGACACTTCTCTGTGGCACTTCTCTCCTTATGTGGGAGGAGGGAGAGGATGGAAGGTTCTCATGCTTAAATACAAACCCTTCCCTCTCTTGTGCTCAGGGAGGGTCTCAGTGAGGATGACAGTGAAGATGAAGAGAAGCGGTTGAGCAGCCGAAGCAAGGGGCAGGAGGAAGAGGAGGACACGGACCTGCAGCTCAATATGGAGATAGATGAGCAATTTGTGCTACCCAGTGGTGAGGAGATCGAGAGAGAGAATATCCTTCCCTCTAACGTGTGTGGTGCACATAAGCTGTGTACGCGGCACAGATGAGCACCCACACTCTTGCACAGAACCATGTTGGGTTGTACATGTGTGTTGCATAGCGGAGGTGTATTGGTTATGATAGGCTGCACTAGTGCAGCCTCAGGAGCCATATCACCTGCATGTGTTCGATTGTGCTTGTGTGTTGTTGGGGGGAGAGGGGAACTAGCACACTCCAGCATAACAGCAGAGGCATTTGTGACGCCATATGTGTAGCCTGAAAGTCATGCTCTAGAGGCACCTGTGCATTGCATGTCATGGTATGCACACAATATTCACATTTGAGCAATGCCCAGGGTCGCGTGACTCTTCTTTTTCTTGATTCCTTAACTGCCTCATTACCTGCTGAGCCACCTGACCTGCACCTCGTTCATCAACGTATCAAGGACAATGTGGAGGTGCTGCAGGACTTCAGGGTGAAGCGGGAGGCAGGACGTGCCCGGCAGGAGTACCTCGCTTTGCTACGCCAGGACCTTGCTGCCTATTATTCCTACAGTGACTTCTTGCTTAAGAAGCTCATGGAGCTCTTCCCTCTCCCTGAGGTATGAACCCCGCCTAGGTCCAGGTATGCTTCTGGATTCACCCAGCCTACATCCACACTGACTGGTGTTCACCCGTCTGCCCACCCAATTCCCAGATATGGGCCTGACTTCCTTGCCGCCTTCGCCTGTTCTTTATCTTATTTTCTTTTCTCCCCTTCCTCCCCTGGAGAATAGCTACGGTACTTGTATTTAAGAAAGGGGGAAGAAAGTAACCTGGGCGATTACAGACCTTGTAGTCCAGGGGTAGGCAACCTATGGCACGTGCGCCAAAGGCGGCACGCAAGCTGATTTTCAGTGTCACTCACACTGCCCGGGTCCTGGCCACCGGTCTGGGGGGCTCTGCATTTTAATTTAATTTTAAATGAAGCTTCTTACACATTTTAAAAACCGTATTTGCTTTACATACAACAATAGTTTAGTTATATATTATAGACTTATAGAAAGAGACCTTCTAAAAACATTAAAATGTATTACTGGCACGCGAAACCTTAACTCGGCACACCACTTCTGAAAGGTTGCCGACCCCTGTTGTAGTCTGACCTCAGTAGCATGCAGGGCTTTAGAGCAAATTGTGAAGAAAAGAATAATTAAATTTATCTAAATAGATCTAATATACCTGGGCTTTGGTAAAATGTTTGACACGGTACCACATGGGACATTGTTAGTTAAATTAGGAAAGATGGGGATCAGTCAAACCATTGTCAGGTGGATAAGGAACTGGCTAAAGCAGAGAAGGCAACAAGTTGTGCTGAAAGGTGAACTATCGGACTGGACGGGGGCTACTGATGGAGTTCCTCAAGGATTGGTTTTGGGACCTCTCATATTTTAATATTTTTATTAATGACTTTGGCACAAAAAATAGAATGCTAATGAAATTTGCTGCTGCTAAAGTTGGGAGCCATGGTCAATACAGAGGAGGTTCAGAATATTATACAGGAACAGGATGACCTTAAAAACTGGAGTAACAGAAACGGGATGAAATTTAATAGTACAGAGTGCAAGTTCATGCACATAGGGTCTAATAAGAATGTCTGCTATAAGCTGGGTGCTCATCAGTTGGAAGCAACAGAGGAGGAGAGCGACTTGGGTGTATGGGCCGATCACAGGTGACTGAGCCACCAACATGATGCGGCTGTGAAAAAGGCTAGGATGTGAGGCAAGGCATTTCCAGTAAAGATAGGGAAGTATTAATGCCATAATACAAGGCACTAGTGAGACCTCATATGGAATGTTGTGTACAGTTCTGGTCACCCATGTTCAAAAAAGATTAATTTAAATGAGGAATGGAGGGCTTATCTCAGGGGTAGGCAACCTATGGCACGCGAGCTGATTTTCAGTGGCACTCACACTGCCCGGGTCCTGGCCACCAGTCCGGGGGGCTCTGCATTTTAATTTAATTTTAAATGAAGCTTCTTAAGTAAATAAGGTTTTTTAAAATGATTTACATACAACAGTTTATTTATATATTATAGACTTATAGAAAGAGACCTTCTAAAAACATTAAAATGTATTACTGGCACGTGAAACCTTAAATTAGAGTGAATAAATGAAGACTCGGCACACCACTTCTGAAAGGTTGCTGACCCCTGGCTTATTTTATGAGAGGAAATTGGAAGAGTTTGGCTTGTTAGCAAAACAAAGGCTGAGGGGATATGATTGCGCTATACACATACATAGGGGGTAGACACCAGGGAGGGTGAAGAGCTATTTAAGTTAAAGGACAATGTTGGCACAAAAACAAGTGGCTATAAACTGGCTGTGAACAAATTCAAGCTGGAAATTAGAAGGAGGTTTCTAACCATCAGAGGATAGGTTCTGGAACAGATTCTAGAAGTTATGGGGGAAAACGAGAGTTGGACAAATTTATCAGTGGAATTATATGGCGGGGTGCAGGTCTCGGCAGTCCTGGAGGTTCCTTCTGGTTCATGTCAGATGTTTCTAAAATCTCATGCTTCAGGATTTCAGCTGGTCACCTGCAGGGGTCAGGAAGGGACTCCCTCCCTGGCAATGTATTCTGGTTTTTTTGTTTGTTTGTTTTCTTCCCCCTCCTTCTGAAGCATCAGAGATGGCCACAGCTGGAGAAGGGCAGTGGACAGGGTGGGCCAAGGCTCAGAGGTGGTATTGATCATTGTCTCTCTGGTGCTTGGCTGACTGGTTCTTGCTACATGCTCCGGGTCTAATTGATCACCTTATGTGAGTTTGGGAAGGAATTTTCCCCCAGCTCAGATTAGCAGTGACCTAGTGGGAGGGAGGGTTTGTCTTCCTCTGCAGCATGTGAGTGTGGATCATTTGCCAGGATTATCTGGGTATATCTCCCGTAATTGCTTCCCTGCCACTGCACAGGCCTCAGGCATTGGTGCATCTTGGTTCCCCTGTTCTCTGCTTGTAGCACACAGCAGTCTAGTCTCCTGACAGTTGTAATACTTTACTCTAATTTTGGTTGTTGGGCGTAGCGTGCAAGTAGTGGGAGGGGTTGGTGGCCTGTGATGTACAGGAAGACAGACTAGGTGATCTGGTGGTGCCTTCTGGCCCTAAACTCTGACTCTATCTCCAGCTGGTCAACTTCTTAGAATCTAATGAGGTTCCTCGCCCCATGACACTTCGTACCAACACACTGAAAACACGGCGACGAGACCTGGCACAGGTGAGCAAAGCATCATGGTCCCTCAACCTCTGTCCCAGTTATGGAGCAAAGATCTCACCCCTCTGTCTTCATCCTTCAGGCTCTGATTAATCGCGGTGTGAATCTTGACCCCCTGGGGAAGTGGTCGAAAACTGGGCTTGTTGTCTACGACTCCTCTGTGCCCATCGGTGAGAAACTGACCCTCCCTTCGCAGGGCTGAGCTGACTGACTCATTTTTTTAGCTGCTTCTCCTCTTCTCATGGCTCTGTTCTTCACCCCTCCTCTCTTTCTCCCCCCCCCACCCCCTCCAAGGTGCCACCCCTGAGTACCTGGCTGGACACTACATGCTACAAGGAGCTTCCAGCCTCCTCCCTGTCATGGCTCTGGCCCCCCAAGAGAATGAACGCATCCTGGACATGTGCTGTGCCCCAGGAGGCAAGACCAGCTACATAGGTACCTGACTGCGGCGGGGGGGAGGGAGAGGGAGGGACCAAGGCTCTGGAGTTTGGGAGGAGAGCCTGGGGGAAAGAGGTCTGTGGGGACACCTGGGGGCAGGGAAATAGGGGGAGCTGGGGGATGGGTTGCCTGGTAGGAGGGAGAGGCAGTGAGGGGCACACTGGGGAAGGGGAGGGGGGGTTATTCCTACTGCTGATTGGGAGGGGGTGGGGCTGCACATTGTCTGGGTCTTGATGTAACCTTCATCCCCTGGCAGCTCAGCTGATGAAGAACACAGGTGTGATCCTGGCCAACGACAGCAGTGCTGAGCGGCTGCGCAGTGTGGTGGGGAACCTGCACCGTCTGGGAGTCACTAATGCTGTCTTGAGCCACTGCGATGGACGCCAGTTCCCCAAAGTACGCAGCCACTGGGTAGTTTCATGTTTGCTGTGGCCATCACAAGGCTTCATGGAATCCATCTGTGCTCTCCTTGACTGTGTGCAGCGGGTGGGTGACTCACAAGAAAGGAATGCACATGGGGTGGGGGAGAAGGCAATGGGGCATCTCTTCTCCCCCTCCCCCCCATTTCCCCTTTTCTGCTGTTGTTCTGTTGTTCCCCTTGTTGTCCTGTCAATGGAATTGAGGCCAAGACCTCTGTCTCTCCACCCACCTCTAGGTGCTGGGTGGGTTTGACCGTGTCCTCCTTGATGCTCCCTGCAGTGGCACAGGTGTCATCTCCAAGGACCCTGCTGTCAAAACCAACAAGGTGAGCAGCCTGGGCAGGGGCGGCTCAGGAGAAGTGAGAAGGAGCTTGGGTGATTTGTGGTGTAGTGCAGGGGTTCCCAAACTTTTTCCTTCTGAGGCCCCCCGCAACATGCTATTAAAAATTCCATTGCCCACCTGTGCAACAATTGTTTGTCAGTAGATTAAAAGCCAGGGCCGAGCCGGTGTTAGGGGATAGCAAGGAGAGCGATTGCCCGGCCACAAGGGGCCCCACGAAGCTACGTTGGTTGGTTGGGCTTCTGCTTGAGTCCTGGGAGGAGGGGCTCGGGCTTCGGCTTTCTGCCCTGGGCCCCAGTGAATTTAACACTGGCCCTGATCTCTGGCTTATTTTGGTGGACCCCCTGAAACTTGCTTGTGTCCCCCCCCCCCCCACCTCCCGGAGGGCCCCTGGTTGAAAACTGCTGGTGTAGGGTACAGAGTGAGATGTGAACTTGCCTGCAGGCCATGGAAGAGCGGGGCTTCTGGACTCTTGTCCTTGCACCAAGATGTCTGGACCAGAGAAACCTGAAGAAATTGACCTGTCTCCCTCGCACACACTGTTCTGGGACCAGATTTAGGGGTAGAAGCCCAACTGAGTCCTGCTACCTCACCACCGGTGGCTCTTGCTCTCATCACACCTCCATTTGCAGCAGGCACAGAGGGTGCAGTGAGCTAGGCCAGGGGAGGGAGTGGATCAGCATAGCTCAAGTGTTCTAACCCCCTCTGTGTCTCTCAGGATGAGAGGGATGTCCTGCGTTGTGCTCATCTGCAGAAGGAGCTGATTCTCAGTGCTATTGACTCAGTCAATGCTGCCTCAGAGACGGGGGGCTACATAGTGTACTGTACCTGCTCCATCATGGTGAGTTCCCTTTGGGTACCAGGCAGCTGACCCGTGTGCTGGGGGAGCTCTCATTCAGAGAGTCTCCACAGAGTCTGTCTCTAATGCTTGGTCTCTGGCAGGTGGAAGAGAATGAGTGGGTTGTGGATTATGCCCTGAAGAAACGCAATGTTCGCTTGGTGCCCACAGGGCTGGACTTTGGCAAGGAAGGATTCACCAGGTGTGTGTTAAGTCTCTGGGGGCTGTGGGGAGGAGGGAAGCTTGCTCTGTTTTTAGCCCTCAGACTTCAATTGGGAAACTAATATTTCCTCTTCTCTCTTCCCTCAGGTTCAAGGACCGTCGCTTCCACCCATCCCTCAAATCCACACGGCGTTTCTACCCTCACACCCACAACATGGATGGGTTCTTCATCGCCAAGCTCAAGAAATTTTCTAATGCCATCCCCAAAATGCAGAAAGGTAACTGAACTCCAGAGCTGCGCTATGCTATCTTGCTCATGTACAATGCTGGCTGGTTTGGAGCAGCAGAGAGCTCGCCATCCAGGCAGCACTGCTTGCTCACCACAACATCTTCTGCACTTTCCTCTCTGACTCTTGTTTCTTATTCTAGATGAGGAATCTACTGTGGAAACAGCAAGTCCAGCATCTGCTCCGGAAGTAGCTGCAGAGCCACAGCTTAAAAGGAAGAAACTTGAGAGGTTGAAAGTCACCGTGGGGCAGAAGAAGCAGCCCCCTTCAAAGGGAGGTTCTGTGCAAAGGCATAAGAGGCCCTCTCCCTGGCGTCTAGGAGCTCGGCCACCTGCCAGGAAGCGGCATAGAGTGCACCGGAATAGACAATAAGAGGGACTGCCTCTCTGGGCTTTGGTGTCTGATTCCATGAGAGTTGCAGGGATGGGGCATTCTCCTTGAAGGCTGAAGGTCAGGGACTCTCCAGATTCCACCCATGTAGGGTTGTTTTTCGCCATCTTGTGCAGTGAGTGTCTGGGACAACTATTGCCCCTATAGAGGGAGCATTTTTTGGACTTTATTCTTGCAGCCCAGTGTACTTCCCCCAGCATGGGGTTGGGGTACTGGATTGATAGATCCTGATTCATTAAAGATTTATACTTTGATCAAATTCTCTCTCTCTCCCTGCATGTCTAAGGCAGGAATTTATTTCAGTGTAGTGTAACTGGACCCTGCAGTAAATGTTCAGCTGTAGCCACTTGTTCTTGTGCTGCACTGTGACCTCTCCCTCTGTACTTGGCTTCCATTGTTCTGTCCTCCTATCACTCTCCCTCACTGCCTCTTTGCTTTCTGTCCTGCCCTTATTCTGACCCTCCCGTTTCCCAGTCTTCAGTCGCCCAGTCTTCAGTCGCCCACTCCAGTCACTTCACCCCTCCTTCCCAAACCTTTCCCTTGTGCCCCTTTCTTTCACTCCTGGGCCAGTGATGGGGGCTGCCCTACAGCCTGGGTTTTGTACAGTTTGGTTGCCTCTTCACCCACCCTCTGGCTGCTGCTGCTCAGTAAGTGGGGCTAGCAAAGGATGGAAGGGAATTGCTTCTGCTGGAAGGCTACTAACCTTTGTTCAAACCCCGGCAACTGCCCTATGCCTACTACATGTCAGCCCAGCTCCCTGTGCTCTGGAAGCCCTTTTTGCGAGTAGCCCTGCAAATGGGCTCATGCCTGAAGAGGGGATAGTAGCCAGTTTTTCCCATCGCAGCAGTGAGCAGGCCTTGTTTTGGAGGCAGCTTTACTAGTAAACTTTTTCTCCACACTGATAAGCATAGATAAGGCTGTCCAGCCCCCCTCTCCTGCATATCTGAAGTAGTCTTCTTCCTGCATGAGCCTGGCATACAGGAGCCCTGAGCTTAATTCTCATTGCTGCTATTGCCGTGCTCTGCAGCTTTTGGTGAGTTCCTGCCCTGATTCTCCATCTCTAATCTTAGGCTAGTGGGAGGGACTGACCTAACAGTGGGTGATGAAATCAAATTCATCCATGTCTGAAGTGTCCCCCTCCCCTTCCCCACATACTGAGACTTAAACAAATCAGTCTTCCTTTAGTGCCCTGTGGGAAGAACAGGAGTACTTGTGGCACCTTAGAGACTAACAAATTTATTAGAGCATAAGCTTTCGTGGGCTACAACCCACTTCTTGGATCATCCTCTAGGGCTCCTAGTCCCTAGCGCCTTAAGCAAGGGGGTTCCAGGACCTTCCTGTGGGGAGATGACCCATTCGCCAACATATACACCCCTCAACACCGGTAAGTGGGTCATGAGTTCCAGTTAGAGCTCTCCTGGGTTAGCTCCTAGTTGCAGTCAGGCCTGTTTGGATGGCAGGTTCCTGCTGAAGTATAACAAGATTTTAGCTCAAGCCTTGGCTCTCACCTTTGGTTCCTGAATCTCTTTCTACATCATAGACTTGCCCTTGGGGATTCAGTGCCACTATGATGAGGAATTCAGCTTAAATGTCTAAATCCTGGTCTACACTACATGCTTACGTTGGTATAACGTCGCTGAGGGGGGTGAAAAATCCACACCCCTGAGTGATGCAGTTATACCCACCTAACTCCTGGCACAGGGGACCTGACTCCCAGTTTCTCCTATCGATATAGCTACTGCCTCTTGGGGAGGTAGAGTCCTGTGCCAACGGGAGAGGTTCTCCCACACATGTGGGTAGCATCTTCACTAAGCGCTACACTGGTGCACCTGCAGTGCTGTGTAGACAAGCCCTCAGTCAGCACCAGGGCCTGTGAATCTTCTGCACCTAGATGAGGTGTGGCATCTCCTCCAGGAGACTCCTCTTTATCCTTCAGGTGGGCCCCCCAAAAGGTCTAAGCCTTTGTCAGCTTGTGTCCTTTTCATGTGTGTGGCTCCTAAAGGGTCTTCTGTGCACTGATGGAGCCTCAGACTCTCCTGGCAAGATTAGAGAGGGGGGGATGGTTTTGCCCAAGGTCACAGTTCAATATAGGAACCAACATTTCTAAGGCCCAGCCTGCTCTGAATTAACCCAGTAGAACTCTCTTTCCTTAAAGAGCTGGGAATCAAATGCAGATGGCCTGACTCCACCATGTAACTGAGCTTCTGCCTGCCCAGCTAATTACTGAATTATCTCCCCTCCCAGACTCAGAAATGTGTGCCTGCATTTGCCAGCAGTTTCTGTGCTATTGTCACTCCCACATATTAAACCTGATGGTTACGAATCCCTTGGCTGTGACTCCAGTTCCTCTTGGAATGCTGAACAACGGAATGAGGTGAGACTGAGCAAAGGGAAAGGAGCTGAGGAGACAAAAATAGCCACTAAATCTAGTAGAGGATGACTTCCAGATCTCTTGTATAAACTGCTCGAAGGCCAAGATTGGTTTAGAGAAGCAATTTCTTGACACCTTAAGTGTTTCTTGGAACAGTTAGTGCTTGAGCAAGGGATGAGGCAGTTAAAATTTAAGTGACATACAGGGGTTTGTTCAAGGAGTAGCTGTAGTTGAACCATTAAGTAATAGTGACCGCATTATCAGTGAGATTTAACATCCCCCGGGAGGAAAGGTCCCAAAGCGAGGTATGGTGACATGGCACTGTAGAAAGGGAGATTTTTAATAAAATGAAGCTAGTCAAAAAGGCTGTACCATCAAATGTACAAATGAAATCCTTGGGTTCATCAGGGAGGCTACCTAAGCAGCTACCATAAGTAGCAGGATAACCCCTAAATAAGGCAGGATGGCAAAAAGGGCAAGGGTCAAAGGTTGATTGAGCCAACCAGGCATCCTTCCAAAAATGGAAATCCAAGCCCTGGAAACCAGCAGAAAGGAGCTGGAACTGCAGCAGGTAGAAGGAAAGTACAAATAGCCAACCCCTCACCAGTGGAGAACATTTTTCAGTGTATGTTAAGCAGGGAGATGGCCAGGGAATGGGGGGATATGCTGGACTATCAAGAAACAAATTAAGGACTGTCAGGATGGCCCTGCCTGGAGTGCCCTCCTGCAGTGGTCCACAGCACTCTGTTTCCTTCCCTCAGAGTCCCCAGGAATAGTCCAAACATTCTGTGTGCAAATAGTCCTGAGGAGTTATTACAACTGTTACCTGAAATTGGGCCAGCTAGTAAGCTTAGGGAGGACTAATGACCCACCAGAGTTTGGCAGAAAGCAGCACGTTTATTATACTGATAGCTAAGCTCAAAAGAAGTGGGGAGAGGTCACACTCTCGCTCCCAGGACAGGCACGGCACTGGAGATGTCAGGATCCTTCAAGGTAAGAGTCCCACAGCGCAGCGATAGACGGTGCAATGAAGGTAAGTCTTCCTGAGGCACAATGAAATGCAACGCGGTGAACCACTGGCCAGGCAGTCCGGGCGAAGGGCCTTTACGGGAGATACAATCTTGCGAGTGCACTCCCGAGCACATGTCCCCTTCCTCTTTTAAGGACCTGCTCCTCATGGCCTGCGACTAGAGATGACTTGGCTGCGTCTGGTTGATCACACTCCACCTCGGACAGTGTCCATGCATTGTGTGTGTGAGTGCTGCCTAATTAGAGTCCCAGACACTTTGTCTACCTGGAAGCTCTTCTGATATTCCAGCTGTTCAAGCAGCCACTTCATTCCAGGAGGGAGGGGGAGAGGGAAAGCCACTTTACAGATATTCAAAGAGGGAGAGGAGACAAAGTCGAGGGGGGCCCTGTAACGGACCTTTTGAACATACAGGTTATACAGAGCATACAGAGCACTGCTGCTCCTACAACACTCCGCCCCTTGATCTATGATCATTACAGTAGTTGTTGCCATTGTAGGGCACAGGTGATCTGTTGCAAACAAACCGAACAATCATAACCAGGTGAATATAACTAAAATCATTACAATTGACTAAACACCAGATATAACAAATGCAAACAATCATAATAATTAGGAATATAATAAAACCATCACCATTACAATAATTGGGTACATTGACAAACAAAATAGGGCCCAAGTTTGATGCTGCAATAGCCATCAAACAATAAATGTCAACCCTAACCCTTAAGTACACACAACAAATAAGATTTGTAGGAGTACCACAGTTGTCATGCAAGGTTAAACTGATTTGGAAGATACATAGTAACAGAGAACTTGGTGAAATTGCTGATACTTAAACTAACATCTAGTTGCTAAAACGTTGCAGAATCCCCTATTACTAACAGTTGTTCTCAAGAGGTCTTGGGGTGGGGAGGGAACAGACCCAAGACCTGAAAAACGGGGCCCTACAATCACGGACCAAGGTCAAAAATCCCACTAGAGGGTGATAATGCATGTTACAGGTTATGGGGGCCGATGAACTACCCTTCAGGGCTTGGGAAAGTAGAACCAGCGTGCATAGAGGAAAGTGTGGAATTAACAATACAAGAAAATGTATCATCAACAACAAAATGATTATTAGAGAACCTAACAAAAAATAAACCTGATGCAGTGGTGACCAAAGTCTTTTGGACGGAGGTGGATGTGATTTGATAATTTGGTTGGAGATGAGGGGAAGTAGAGAGAGGAAAAGGTATTTACCCTGTCTAGTATAGTATCCCCTCTCTCTCTGGATCCAATGCTAGCACAGGACACCCACCAGAGACAGACACAGAACATGCAACACAGACTTTGTCGCTACACTATAACCATGGTATTTTTATAACTCTTCAGCTGGTACCAGCTCTCCTGATGTTCCGGTTCAGAGGCTGAAAGATAGAAGCTTAGAAACAAATTAGCACAGGTGGGGCGACGAGAGCAGCCTGCCGGACTGCATCCAGCAGGGCTTCCACATCCACGGGTTCCCACCTCCTGATCACCTGCTGTACGTGGACTGAGAAGGGTCTCTCAGTTCCTCAATTCCTCCAGACGCAGGGCTATTTGAGCTATGTTCGGGGGTACGTGCCCTCCTGCTGTGGCAGCCACACAAGCATTCCAGGAGAACCCTTCTCTCTACGAACCGGACAGGGTCTTCCCCGGGTGCAGCAGCCGCCGAGACAAACTCTGCCAACAATGCGCCACAGCAGGCGCCATCCGTGCCAACGTATCAAAGATCTTATTGTATGTGGCATGACCGGCTTGCTGACGAGCCGCCCCTGCTAAATCTCCTCCCAACCCGGACGCGGCTTTTAACACCCGTCGGGTCTCAGCTAGGTTCTGACCCTGATCCAAACAGAGGGTCACCATATCCCAGGCCCACCTGTTGAACCTGGAGAGCAAGGGGCCACCCAGGGTTTTTGCTAATTATTGCTTGCGCGGGAGTCAACTCGGTCTCTGCCACAGTGTCTCCGGTACTTGGGGCTGCTCCGCCCCCTGCAGGTGCAGGCCCATAGTTTCAGACCACCCTCCGGACTGCCACAACACGGTGT